GAGTGTACAGGTATGTTTGGGAAAATTTCCCTGATAAACAACTAACCCTAAACATAATCCGTGACGTTACCCTCCTGCGGCAGCTTTATAATTTTGCTCGTAATAATTCACATTTTCGCGAGGGAAAACCGCTATCAAAAAACAATGACGTGACGTCAAGTTGAAAGTTGTCAGTCCATTTCTTAAGCCTCGCAAGGCCGTTTGTTTCAAAACAGGTCTTCTGTGTACAAGTTAAAGCTGATAGTACAACCAGAGCGGCAGTGATTCACGCCACAACAAGGTCTTAATTAACATATACAGCTAATTATATACAAGTGAAACCCCGAACTGCTCGCTGGTGCCACATCTAATACATACTGGGATTTCAGATACTTACATATGTTTTTTTTATGATGTGCCTCAAACGTGTATGATAAATTACATGCGACTAAATAGATCAGGTGGTAATGCTTAGTCACTAGATTGATTGTGTTTGTTTGTTTGTTCTTTAACGCCACACTTCAATATATGATGAACACAAATTGAGAAGTAGGATTGAAATGAAACTTTATTGTTATGATCACCACATGTCAAAGAGTTATGCCAAACGTTCTCAATAAATAAATCACCAGATAAGAATATGAAAAGTGAAAGTCAGTTTCTTGTGTGACCACCTGGGCCATTTATTACAGCCATGCGTCTTCTGTACAATTTGGTTGGTTGGTTGGTTTGTTTTTTAACGTTGCACTCAGCAATATTCCAGCTATATGACGGCGGTCTGTAAATAATCGAGTCTGGACCGGACAATCCAGTGATTGACATCATGAGCATCGATCCACGCAATCGGGATATGATGATATGCATCAACTAAGTCAGCGAGCCTGATTTTGAGACAGATTGATTGTGAGACAGATTGATGGTGAGACAGATTGATTGTGAGACAGGTTGACAATATCAATCTCTGTTTTGTTCTGGTCCAGACTCAAAGAATTCGGGCCTCTGTCTTACAGCTTTAATTTTCTCCTATATCAAATGGAGACAGATACGGCATATATAGCAGACCGCCTCCGTGGTCTAGTGGTAGAGCGTCCGCCCGGAGAGCGGAAGGTCCGGGGTTCGATCTCCGACCGCGTCATACCAAAAGACGTTAAAAGATGGTACTTGTTGTTACCCTGTCTGGCGCTCGGCATTAAGGGGCTAAAACAAGGACTGGTCGGCTCGGAGTCAGTATACTGTGTCTGAGTGGGGTTTCGATGTTAAACTGCGGCATGGTATCTCAGTGAGCTAGCACTATAAATCGGCATCAGTCCGGACTAGTACAAGCAGCCACACAAACACACACACGTACATGCAGGTCGCTATATAAGTGCAATAATCTTGGACGCGACGTTAAGCCCCATTTCACCTCACCTCATATATAGCAACGAATGTTATTCACATGTCAGAACGTAGCCAATTGGTGACGCTCGAGTATGAACCTCCTTCTATAACCAGTCCGTGTACCTGGTACAGACTGGTTGGAGGTAAATGAGTAGGATAGGGTTCTAACAGAGTTAATAAAATCCATAAGCAATAATTCAATACGGTGTATTAATCGCATTCACAACTCCCAGTAAAATCGGTTTTTATAGTTTTGGTATCAAGTCAGAGGAAGGTGTAGAAGGTCGTCATCAGCGCTGCTCGTGCAGGTGCAATCATTGTTCAATTATTCCCCGACATTTTGTTCGTCGTTCAGCCCAAGTGTCAACACATAGCATTCATTGAAGATAGAATATTCAGACACGAGCCTTGTGTATTATGTACACATGGTTGTTTAGTTTAGACTGTTCAATACTTGTGCAGCCGTGTTGGCTCTTGCATGTTCCCACCGTAACGGAGTGGAATGAAGACGAGAGGGGGATTGTGAGGGGATAGTGAAGGCTGAAACTCGATTATGGGAGAGGGATTGTGATGGTGAAAATATAGGCTGAAACTCGATTGTAGGAAAGGGATTGTGAGGGGACAGTGAAGGCTGAAACTCGATTATGGGAGAGGGATTGTGATGGTGAAAATGAAGGCTGAAACTCGATTGTAGGAAAGGGATTGTGAGGGGACAGTGAAGGCTGAAACTCGATTATGGGAGAGGGATTGTTATGGTGAAAATGAAGGCTTAAATGTGATTGTTGGAAAGGGATTGTGAGGGGACAGTGAAGGCTGAAACTCGATTATGGGAGAGGGATTGTGATGGTGAAAATGAAGGCTTAAATGTGATTGTGGGAAAGGGATTGTGAGGGGACAGTGAAGGCTGAAACTCGATTATGGGAGAGGGATTGTGATGGGGAAAATGAAGGCTGAAATGTGATTGTGGCAGTGGGATGGGGAAAGTGATTGTGGGAGAGGAAGTGGGAGCGGAATTATGATTGTGATGACGTTGAGGGTGGTTGTGGGAGCGGAATTATGATTGCGATGACGTTGAGGCCGGTTGTGGGAGCGGAATTATGATTGTGATGACGTTGAGGGTGGTTGTGGGAGCGGAATTATGATTGTGATGACGTTGAGGGTTGTTCTAGGAGCGGAATTATGATTGTGATGACGTTGAGGCTGGTAGTGGGAGCGGAATTATGATTGTGATGACGTTGAGGGTGGTTGTGGGAGCGGAATTATGATTGTGATGACGTTGAGGGTTGTTCTAGGAGCGGAATTATGATTGTGATGACGTTGAGGCTGGTAGTGGGAGCGGAATTATGATTGTGATGACGTTAAGGGTGGTTGTGGGAGCGGAATTATGATTGTGATGACGTTGAGGCTGGTTGTGGGAGCGGAATTATGATTGTGATGACGTTGAGGCTGGTAGTGGGAGCGGAATTATGATTCTGATGACGTTGAGGCTGGTAGTTGGAGCGGAATTATGATTGTGATGACGTTGAGGCTGGTTGTGGGAGCGGAATTATGATTCTGATGACGTTGAGGCTGGTTGTTGGAGCGGAATTATGATTCTGGTGACGTTGAGGCTGGTAGTTGGAGCGGAATTATGATTGTGATGACGTTGAGGCTGGTAGTGGGAGCGGAATTATGATTCTGATGACGTTGAGGCTGGTAGTTGGAGCGGAATTATGATTGTGATGACGTTGAGGCTGGTAGTGGGAGCGGAATTATGATTCTGATGACGTTGAGGCTGGTAGTTGGAGCGGAATTATGATTGTGATGACGTTGAGGCTGGTAGTGGGAGCGGAATTATGATTGTGATGACGTTGAGGCTGGTTGTGGGAGCGGAATTATTACTGTGATGACGTTGAGGCTGGTTGTGGGAGCGGAATTATGATTGTGATGACGTTGAGGCTGGTAGTGGGAGCGGAATTATTATTGTGATGACGTTGAGGGTTGTTGTGGGAGCGGAATTAAGATCGTGAGGACGTTAAGGGTGGTTGTGGGAGCGGAATTAAGATTGTGATGACGTTGAGGCTGGTTGTGGGAGCGGAATTATGATCGTGAGGACGTTAAGGGTGGTTGTGGGAGCGGAATTATGATTGTGATGACGTTGTGTGAGGGATGGAAATGATGACTGGGAGAGCAGTGGGGTTGGAACGATGATTGAAGGAATATGGGACTGAGAGGAATGGTCATTGTAAGCACTGACTGATGTTGATATGTATAATGGTATCGGGGGTGGGGAGGAGAGCCAGGGTGGAGAGGAGAGCCAGGGAGTGGGTTGATGTTTTATGGGGATAATATTCAGCTTCAGCTGCAAAACCAGATATTTTGTTACAAAATGAAAAAAAATGAAACACCTTCCAACAATGTATCTTGGTAGAAGACAATGTGGGGACAATTAATTATTTTCTATAAAATCCCAGGCCATTCTCTGCACTTCTCGTGCCACTTAAAGAAATGACTGGTATGCAATTACCACTGAAACAAATACTACTCAATAAACTTAACAAATACCTCTTAGCTAGTTGTTGGACTTACAAACCTTATAACCCAATCAGCATTGGGAAAATGTATTGAGACGTATCTACATTAGATGCCTTAAGAAGTTTATCTTGCAATCAAAAGCTGCCGAATGCCACTATCTGATTATCGAGGGTGCTGGAACTCACATCAATATGTTTGAATGGGATTTGCGTGTAATCAAAATCATTTGTCTGTCCTGTCAGTTAGGTTGCCCCTTCATTGTAGCTTGTACATCTCAGAAGGAAATCCTTGTATTTGGTGGGATCTCTCTAATACGACACTGCTTTCGGGGGGAAAAGGCGAAAGGAATGTCATGGCAGCAGTGACGGTGTGTGTAAGGTGTAAGAGGAAGGGTACTTGCATCTAGAGCATAGCTGATGCGGGCAAATGGAATCTGTAGTAACGAAATCAGTATGTTTCCCGGAGGTTCATCAACTGACTAACTCGATAAGTACTGAAGGGGTGGATACATTCGATCAATCTTGTAGCCTGTCGACACTTTAATGGCAACTCAAGACGCAGACAACGGAACAACCTTTGTCACAGTATATAAATAGATTAGCTGTCGACAGACATGTCTATTCAAATGCGCTGAAAGGAAAATGATACAACAAGAACTACTTGTCATTATCAGCAGCAGTGGTGAATGAGTGAATGGAACAACTTTATTATGATGCCGTAGATTACGAGTTTGCTTTGTGGTAGAGGCGGTTTGTCGTAGAGGCGGTGTGGTAGAGGCGGAGTGTGGTAGAGGCGGTGTGTGGTTGAAGCGGTGTGTCGTAATGGCGGTGTGTGGTAGAGGCGGAGTGTGGTAGAGGCGGAGTGTGGTACAGGCGGAGTGTGGTATTAAAGGCGAAGTGTGGTAAAGGCGAAGTGTGGTAGAGGCGGAGTGTGGTAGAGGCGGTGTGTGGTTGAAGCGGTGTGTCGTACAGGCGGTGTGTGGTAGAGGCGGTGTGTCGTACACGGCTGGTGTAGTAGAGTCGGAGTGTGGTTGAAGCGGTGTGTCGTAAAGGCGGTGTGTGGTACAGGCGGAGTGTGGTAGAGGCGGAGTGTGGTACAGGCGGAGTGTGGTCTAGGCGGAGTGTGGTCTAGGCGGAGTGTGGTCTAGGCGGAGTGTGGTACAGGCGGAGTGTGGTACAGGCGGAGTGTGGTACAGGCGGAGTGTAGTACAGGCGGAGTGTGGTAGAGGCGGAGTGTGGTACAGGCGGAGTGTGGTACAGGCGAAGTGTGGTACAGGCGGAGTGTGGTAGAGGCGGAGTGTGGTACAGGCGAAGTGTGGTACAGGCGGAGTGTGGTAGAGGCGGAGTGTGGTACAGGCGGAGTGTGGTCGAGGCGGAGTGTGGTACAGGCGGAGTGTGGTCGAGTCGGAGTGTGGTACAGGCGGAGTGTGGTAGAGGCGGAGTGTGGTAGAGGCGGAGTGTGGTAGAGGCGGAGTGTGGTAGAGGCGGAGTGTGGTAGAGGCGGAGTGTGGTACAGGCGGAGTGTGGTCTAGGCGGAGTGTGGTACAGGCGGAGTGTGGTACAGGCGGAGTGTGGTACAGGCGGAGTGTGGTAGAGGCGGGATGTGGTACAGGCGGCTGTGGTACAGGCGGAGTGTGGTAGAGGCGGAGTGTGGTACAGGCGGAGTGTGGTACAGGCGAAGTGTGGTACAGGCGGAGTGTGGTAGAGGCGGAGTGTGGTACAGGCGAAGTGTGGTACAGGCGGAGTGTGGTAGAGGCGGAGTGTGGTACAGGCGGAGTGTGGTCGAGGCGGAGTGTGGTACAGGCGGAGTGTGGTCGAGTCGGAGTGTGGTACAGGCGGAGTGTGGTAGAGGCGGAGTGTGGTAGAGGCGGAGTGTGGTACAGGCGGAGTGTGGTACAGGCGGAGTGTGGTACAGGCGGAGTGTGGTACAGGCGGAGTGTAGTACAGGCGGAGTGTGGTAGAGGCGGAGTGTGGTACAGGCGGTGTGTGGTACAGGCGAAGTGTGGTAGAGGCGGAGTGTGGTAGAGGCGGAGTGTGGTACAGGCGAAGTGTGGTACAGGCGGAGTGTGGTAGAGGCGGAGTGTGGTACAGGCGGAGTGTGGTCGAGGCGGAGTGTGGTACAGGCGGAGTGTGGTCGAGTCGGAGTGTGGTACAGGCGGAGTGTGGTAGAGGCGGAGTGTGGTAGAGGCGGAGTGTGGTAGAGGCGGAGTGTGGTAGAGGCGGAGTGTGGTAGAGGCGGAGTGTGGTAGAGGCGGAGTGTGGTACAGGCGGAGTGTGGTCTAGGCGGAGTGTGGTACAGGCGGAGTGTGGTACAGGCGGAGTGTGGTACAGGCGGAGTGTGGTAGAGGCGGGATGTGGTACAGGCGGCTGTGGTACAGGCGGAGTGTGGAAGAGGCGGAGTGTGGTACAGGCGGAGTGTGGTACAGGCGAAGTGTGGTACAGGCGGAGTGTGGTAGAGGCGGAGTGTGGTACAGGCGAAGTGTGGTACAGGCGGAGTGTGGTAGAGGCGGAGTGTGGTACAGGCGGAGTGTGGTCGAGGCGGAGTGTGGTACAGGCGGAGTGTGGTCGAGTCGGAGTGTGGTACAGGCGGAGTGTGGTACAGGCGGAGTGTGGTAGAGGCGGAGTGTGGTAGAGGCGGAGTGTGGTACAGGCGGAGTGTGGTACAGGCGGAGTGTGGTACAGGCGGAGTGTGGTAGAGGCGGAGTGTGGTAGAGGCGGAGTGTGGTAGAGGCGGAGTGTGGTAGAGGCGGAGTGTGGTCGAGGCGGAGTGTGGTCGAGGCGGAATGTGGTAGAGGCGGAGCGTGGTAGAGGCGGAGCGTGGTAGAGGCGGAGCGTGGTAGAGGCGGAGTGTGGTACAGGCGGAGTGTGGTACAGGCGGAGTGTGGTACAGGCGGAGTGTGGTACAGGCGGAGTGTGGTACAGGCGGAGTGTGGTCTAGGCGGAGTGTGGTCTAGGCGGAGTGTGGTACAGGCGGAGTGTGGTACAGACGGAGTGTGGTACAGGCGGTGTGTGGTACAGGCGGAGTGTGGTACAGGCGGAGTGTGGTACAGGCGGAGTGTGGTAGAGGCGGAGTGTGGTACAGGCGGAGTGTGGTACAGGCGGAGTGTGGTACAGGCGGAGTGTGGTACAGGCGGGTGTGGTACAGGCGGAGTGTGGTACAGGCGGAGCGTGGTACAGGCGGAGTGTGGTACAGGCGGAGTGTGGTACAGGCGGAGTGTGGTACAGGCGGAGTGTGGTACAGGCGGGGTGTGTGGTACAGGCGGAGTGTGGTACAGGCGGAATGTGGTATAGGCGGAGTGTGGTACAGGCGGAGTGTGGTAGAGGCGGAGTGTGGTACAGGCAGTGTATCGTACACGGTTGGATGAACTTACCGAAATTATTAGTTAAAATGTAACAGGCTCTAACAATTGTGCAATAAATCGAGTAGGTGTAAGACAAATGAAGTAAGGGATACTGTGCCACTTGCTTGTAGAGCCGAGTGAAGGATATCTGCAGACTCCCTGTCTGGCACTGCTGCATTCATCACCATCTCATCCATGTTAACCCGATACCCGAGCAGGATGCTGCTGCCAGACTGACCTTTCCTACAGACATGTCTCCAAATGCCAACTGCCAACAAAAGAGAAATGCTCATAGCACCATTATGACATTCTTAACGTGTGGCGGCGATCACTGACAAATGAACCTATGAAAACCTACTCCTTCCCAAGGAAGAAGTGTCTTTGGTTTAATGAATAAAATCGAGATTTTGGAATATGTTTTGGTATATTAGTATTTACAAATGATTATCTTCCAGTATTCATCGGACCAGCTGACAACTTCGTGTATATCTCATCATAAACGGAAAGTGATTATTAACAGCTCTTATGTATTTTTCATGTAAAAGTATATCACATTTCTCAGCGTTTTTGATTAGTTTATCAGGAAAAGAGTTAAACTGGCCGAAATCACGAAACTCTTCCGTTCTGGTTAACTTAGTGTTTCGTATTAATGATATAGTCTTCACATTATCAGAGGTAACGGTTCTGTATTAATACTAAAGTCTTTATATTATCAGCGGTAACGGTTCCTTATTAATACTATTGTTTTCATATTATCAGCGGTAACGGTTCCTTATTAATACTATTGTTTTCATATTATCAGAGGTGTCTGTTCCTTATTAATACTATAGTCTTCACATTATCAGCGGTAACGGTTCCTTAATAATACTAAAGTCTTTATATTATCAGAGGTGTCGGTTCCTTATTAATACTATTATCTTCATATTATCAGAGGTGTCGGTTCCGTATTAATACTATAGTCTTCACATTATCAGCGGTAATGGTTCCTTATTGATACTACAGTCTTTATATTATCAGAGGTGTCGGTTCCTTATTAATACTATTATCTTCATATTATCAGAGGTGTCGGTTCCTTATTAATACTATTGCCTTCATATTATCAGCGTAAACGGTTCCTTATTACTGCTACAGTCTTTATCTTCACATTATCAGCGGTAACTATTCCGTATTAATGCTATAGTCTTAACATTATCAGAGGTAACGGCTCCGTATTAATACTATTGTCTTCCTATTATCAGAGGTGTCTGTTCCGTATTAATACTATAGTCTTCACATTTTCAGCGGTAACGGTTTCTTATTAATACTACAGTCTTTATATTAACAGCGGTAACGGTTTCTTATTAATACTACAGTCTTTATATTAACAGCGGTAACGGTTTCTTATTAATACTACAGTCTTTATATTAACAGCGGTGACGGTTTCGTATTAATACTATGGACTCCGTATTAACAGCGGTGACGGTTTCGTATTAATACTACAGTCTTTATATTAACAGCGGTAACGGTTTCGTATTAATACTATGGTCTCCGTATTAACTGCGGTAATGGTTCCTTATTAATACTATAGCCGTCACATTATCAGAGGTAACGGTTCTTATTTACACCATGGTCTTTATATTAACAGCGGTAACGGTTCCGTTTCTCAAAGCCTCCTTTAAACAGTGCTGCGCCACGATGGTCTCTCGGATCCACTGCATCAACGCACACTGATGATTTCATCTCTGTGGAGACCGCCTCCGTGGGACCGCCTCCGTGGTCTTGTGGTAGAGCGTCCGCCCGGAGAGCGGAAGGTCCAGGGTTCGATCCCGGGCCGCGTCATACAAAAAGACGTTAGGATTGTACTTGTTGTTACCCTGTCTGGCGCTCGGCATTAAGGGGCTAAAACAAGGACTGGTCGGCTCGGAGTCAGTATACTGTGTCTGAGTGGAGTATTCATGTTAAACTGCGGCATGGTATCTCAGTGAGCTAGCACTATAAATCGGCATCAGTTCGGACTAGTACAAGCAGCCACACAAACACACACACGTACATGCACGTCGCTATATAAGTGCAATAATCTTGGACGCGACGTTAAACCCAATTTCACCTCACCTCATCTCTGTGGACTGTGCAGTCTCATTAACAAAACTCGCACGCTCAGGGAGGATCAATTTCGCACCTTAATGAAGGCAATATACTTCACCTTTGAAATGGATATGAAGTCGGCCTTCTTCATGTGTACAACGACATTATTCTTATATATACAATGGTCATACAATGCACTCACCAGTGAGTTGACCACGCAGTATTTGCCGTTACGGTAAAATCAGATTTCAAAGTTTATGTTTGGAAAATGCCTAAGTGTAAAATTCGATTCCCTGCTGTGCACAAAATAAAATTACAAATAAATTTCCTATTAATCGAGAAAGGATTATGTCTCATGAAGGTGAAGCATCGCAAATACAGGAACAAGAGTGTGTGAATATAACACGTATTTGCAAGAGAATGCCCAGTCTCGATTAGCCCACGAACCAGATTCCATTTTGGTGAAAGGCAATTTGGCTGTAAAAATAAGTGATGACACCAGGTGTTCGCGAAAGGGGTAAGCCTGCCTGCTTTCCCTGTAGCCCCGCCCACCAAAATTTGCATAAAAACGTAAGCGTTTGTTTCCTAGGGCAGCACGGCAGTACTCCCGCCAAATGACGGTGGCCTCTAAACAATCGAATCTTTTCCAGACAGTCAAGTGATAGCATTCATCATCATGTGTAAAAAAGCAAGTGTGTGTTTGTTGTCTGACGTCGCACAACAGTATTGTCATGCCACGATGGCCGTAAAACAACCAGACGCGGAGGACCAGAAAATCCAGTGACACGTTAGCGCATTTACTGATTTCTTGGAACTAAAAACGAGTTCACAGTGTTAATTCTGAGTTACGTCTTCTGTTCACAAGTACAGAGAGCCTGCTGCTTATAAATAGTGAAAACACGTTTAAGAAATAAGTTCGTTTTGCAACACAGTGGATTTTATTACAGTGTGTGCTGCATTCTCGACAAATAACACAATATTGTGCAGTGACTATTGTAAATTGAAACAATAATATCATAAAAAGTGTTCCGAGGTCAATAATGGCATGTGAACTGTGAAATAAAACAAACGCTATGGCCGTAAAGTAAGGCGAAACTGCGGCTCCGTCGAATCTGCACTTACGCCGCTTTTACGCCGCTTTTAGCAATATTCCAGCAATATTACATCGGTGACATTAATTTGACTATGGTCATGCATCTTTAATATACAACAATGGCTGAGACAGAGCGTGCATGAGCACTGATGGACAAACGTCTAAAGCACTGTAATTCGCTTTGCTGATTTACCTCCCTTTTGCGTGACAGGATCACTCATTCACTCTCACTTGGTGTCTTGACTAGTTTCGAAAAGACGATAACTTTGCAGATATGTTACATGTGTCTCAGAACCAATTAATGCATATTTCTTATCAATAACGAAATGGGAGAGAGATAGGGTTGATTAAGTAATTTGATTGGTGAAACGTTACGACCGAACTACTTTTTCATTCATTCACAAATCTACAACCTTCAACGCAATTAATACACTGTAAGAAATGTATTTATTTCCAAAACACACACCTAAGCGCGTTCCTTGTCCTGTATTTGTTATAGACATCATGAACATAATCTCAAATAGATTCTCATTGATTACATGATGTAGAAGACTATTTAACCATCGATATATACACACACACGGATTGATATTGGCAATGGGGTGGTCTCACAAACCTGACATGATTAGTAACAGATGACCATGTACACTGTTTTGGAGAAATATAGTCCACTCGACACTCGGACTTACGGGTTAATGGTCCAGAGTAGCATTAACGTTTAATGTCCCCTGCAAAGACTTCACTCGGACCATACCATCTGTAATGACACGCTCCTTATACATTATTCTGTTAATGCGACGGTTCATATATCATTGCGACGATGTCCCAGCTGTGTTCTGAACATCTTGATCCAGGTAGCGCGACTTCGTCCAACAGTCGATCCCTCTGATAGGCAAGTAGTTGTACGTGTCTAATAGAGGTTGCACCTTCACTAATGACGCAAAACTGCTTCTATACATACAGGGGAGATACCAATTCTACTGATGTCATTTTAGAAAGTCATTATTAACAGGAAAGCGAGATCCTGACATAAAACATAAATCGTTTCTTTTAGTCCCCGGAGAGTGAGACAGAGACGTTTGAAAGACGCAGGTGAAGTGTGAAGGACGCTGTAGTGTCGAGATAGAGAGATTCGTTTGAAAGTCAGGCACTATGTTAACAATACAGTTACGTTAAGATGGAGAGAGTCGTTTGAAAATCAGGTAATATGTTAACATACTGTTACGTCAAGATAGAGCAACGTTTGAAGACAGGTAATATGTTAACAATAATGTTACGTCACGATAGAGCTACGTTTGAAAGACAGCTAATATGTTAACAATACTGTTACGTCAAGATAGGGAGGGACGTTTGAAAGACAGGTAATATGTTAACAATACTGTAACGTCAAGATAGAGAGTGGCGTTTGAAAGACAGGTAATATGTTAACAATACCCTTACGTCAAGATAGAGAGGGCCGTTTGAAATAAAGGTAATATGTTAACAACACCCTTACGTCAAGATAGAGAGGGACGTTTGAAAGACAGGTTCTATGTTGACAATACAGGTACGTCAAGATAGAGAGTGGCTTTTGAAAGACAGGTACTATGTTAACAACACAGGTACGTCAAGATAGAGAGAGGCGTTTGAAAGACAGGTACTATGTTGACAATACAGGTACGTCAAGATAGAGAGTGGCGTTTGAAAGACAGGTACTATGTTAACAATACTGTTACGTCAAGATAGAGAGGGACGTTTGAAAGACAGGTTCTATGTTAACAATACTGTTACGTCAAGATAAAGCAACGTTTGAAGACAGGTACTATGTTAACAATACTGTTACGTCAAGATAAAGCAACGTATAAAGATAGGTAATATGTTAACAATACTGTTACGTCAAGATAGAGCTACGTTTGAAGACAGGTACTAGTGGCAAGCTAGAATGAGCGGTTATAACACTTGTTGTGGAGAACGTTAATGCAATCGATCTCCAGGAATATAAACGTTGACACATCATTTGTAACCGAAACCTCCCCATCGAGCTATATGATAAACTAGGTACAGCGAAAAACCAGATTCCCTTTATTTATACCATGGATGAAGTTAATTGCTTGATCTCAAAATAACTCGCGTTGTTAGTACTACATTTACTGGATTTAATGACGAATACCAATTCCGACTAGGACAGCGTCATACAAGAAACGCCGTTACGTTGCTGTTTTGAGTGAGGACATGGCTTTCTCGACTATGGTTTTTTTTTTCTGCTCTTATGCTTCCCTTTAAAGAAAACCCCATTCTCTTACAAATGTGTGCATTAATGATTTGTTATCTTGTGATAGTTTCTTATCTTTACATACTGTCTGATCCTGTGTTGTTTCTTTTGGCTATATTTTTCACGAAACATCAACTGACATCATGTCTGGAGCAGTTGTACATTTTTTTGTTCTGACAACGGAAGGAACATCAAAGCTTGAGCAGGTTTATGTGACTGGCGCATTGTGAGAAATGTGTAATCTGATACGAGTCTGTACGGGAATTCATTTCGTATGTGATGTCTGACCTTGTGGGGACACATTCTTTGTCAGCCAATGAGAGAATCTGACCATATACACTATTGTTGTGAGATGGATTAGGCCGTTCCTCTCCATAATCTTTAAACATTATTCCAAGACAGAATTAGCACTCCGAAGCGACAATGTCACCTTCGACGTACGTTATTAATGCACTTGGGATAATTAATGTATCCCAGACACCATTCATGTAATTTAGTAATACATTTTCTCTTTAGTTTGTAGCAATAATTAAATTATTAAATAATTGGCCTTAAGTGTATGACCACTTATTGTATCATGCGCTATGGTCGGTTCATGGTTGCTGCTTTAATCGACTCCTGCTGACATATTTACACTTAGACACATGGGTAATACAATCTATATCGATAGACGAGTCCATTGTGTCATGTCTATTTAATTCAGGAAAATCACTAGAAGTGTACATAAGCAGTGATGAAAACCATTGCCAACATAATCTACAGACCATGGCGCATGATACGATTGGTGGTCATACACTTAAGGCCAATTATTCAATAATTCAATTATTGCTACAAACCCGTACCTATCTAACCTTGCCGTGCCCGCCATTAGACTAGATCACCACCACTTCATACATAGTAAGAGGCACCTTGTGGTTTACCACTGTTAGAATAGATCAACACCACTTTAAACCTCGTAAGAGGCACCTTGTGGTTTACCACTGTTAGAATAGATCACCACCACTTCATACATCGTAAGGGGCACCTTGTGGTTTACCACTGTTAGAATAGATCAACACCACTTTATACATAGTAAGGGGCACCTTGTGGTTTACCACTGTTAGAATAGATCAACACCACTTTATACATCGTAAGAGGCACCTTGTGGTTTACCACTGTTAGAATAGATCAACACCACTTCATACATCGTAAGGGGCACCTTGTGGTTTACCACTGTTAGAATAGATCAACACCACTTTATACATAGTAAGGGGCACCTTGTGGTTTACCACTGTTAGAATGGATCAACACCACTTTATACATAGTAAGAGGCACCTTGTGGTTTACCACTGTTAGACTAGATCAACACCACTTTATACATAGTAAGAGGCACCTTGTGGTTTACCACTGTTAGAATAGATCACCACCACTTTATACATCGTAAGAGGCACCTTGTGGTTTACCACTGTTTGAATAGATCAACACCACTTTATACATCGTAAGAGGCACCTTGTGGTTTACCACTGTTAGAATAGATCACCACCACTTTATACATAGTAAGAGGCAACTAATTTAGATAGGGAGATCGGGCTCGGCGACTGGGATGGTTGTGTGACGTCATGCCCCAGTACCCATCTCACCACCCACTGGTGTCTTCTACCCCGGGTACTTACAGGTCGCTGTGATATTACCGGAACAATTCTGACAGAACAAAACTACAAGCACGCCATAACTATGTGATTCAATTTAGGAAACAAGACAGCCAAGTTAATATGGAAGAATTGGTTTTTAATTCCGCCATATATAGTTTGTCGAAGGGACGTTTAGA